CGTCACCTCGCCAGCCTGACTCCGTGGTTGAGCGGTCGCCCTGTGAACCAGGAGGTCAGGGTTCGGTCCCACGTCAGGGCACAGGCCCGGGGTCCTGGGCTCCATCCCCAGTGTGGGGCGTGCAGGAGGTGGTGGGGCCATGATTCTCTCTCATCATGGACGTTTCTCTCTCTCCCTCTCTGAAACCAACGAAATTGTATTTTAAACACGCAATTAGCATCGCAGTATCAGCTGACCTGCACCTGTGGAAACGCCTCCCCCCATAGATGCGATGGTCCCCTTCCCATTCGCACAAGCGCCCCGCCTGTCACGGCGCCGCACACCGAGTCCGCGTTTCCCAAATGCCATTCTTTGATCGCATATAAATGCTGGTCCTCCTTGGCTTTGAAAGGCCTTTTGTTTTTTAATATATTCTTATCGATTTCAGAGAGGAGGGGAGAGAGGTAGAAGCATCAGTGAGAACCGATCAGCTGCCTCCTGCACGCCCCCTACTGAGGATGGAGCCCGCAGCCCCGGAATCAACCCGGAACCTAAGCGTGACCTCCCGGCTCGCAGGCCCGCAGGAGGGGAGGCTGTTAGGTGGACACCGGGCGGGGTGGGGGCCAGTGGCGGAGGGGCCACTGCAGTCCTTCCCCCAAAGGCTAAGCAACGGGCGGCCGGCGGCTGGGTTCGCTCCGGCAACCACGCGGGTCCTGGGCAGGGCCCCACCGACACCCCGCACGGCCCCCAGCACCTCGCCTGCCTGCAGCGCGGGGTGCAGCCCGGCCCAGGGCGCGGAGCCCCCCGCCACGTTCCACCCGCGGGAGGTGCGGGACCTCTAGGCCGCCGCCCCACCGACGGGAAGCGGCCTCGGCCGGACGGGCTGCGGCACAGCTCGCGGGAAGCGGGCCCGAGGCCCCCGCGGCCACCCCCCGCGCTCCTCCCGACACGTGGCCCGGGGCCGCAGGGAGGCGTCCTCACCAGCATGGCCGCGCCCCTCTTAGATGGCGGCGCAGAGACAGCGACGGAAGTGCCGTCACAATCACGGCC